CACTTTCCTCCTCTTACCTAAGCATGCAGCTTGAAATGAATCTAAAATGGATGCTGTCCAGTAGGTGCAGGAGGGTCTCTGCTGAAAGGAGAGCTGTGCTGCTAATTGGCTGGAATGTGTCTGCTGACTGTGAGGTACAGGGTCAAAGTTTACTCAATGATGGCGAATAGGGGGCGGGTCGAACCGCGCATATGTTCGCACGCCGTGGCGAACGCGAACATGCTATGTTCGCCAGGAACCGTTCGCCGGCGAACCGTTCGGTACATCACTACCAGGGAGGTGTTTCTGCTCTCAGTTATAAAAATGCCAAATTTCTATTTGAAATTAGCACTTTTATAAACTGTCACAAATATAACTAGCTCCAGAATTGTCAGGGTATTTCCACTGGCAGACAATTTGTGGTAAGATAGAAATTAAAAAAACTAAAAATGTATACTGTAAGTCACCACTATCAGATGTGACTCCATTTTGTAACAAAAATGCAAAGACAAACACATTTTTATTTCTCTGTAACTCTATTCATTCAAACCCTGAGCAAAGGAATGTGGCTAGCGTAAATATTGACCAGAGATAGGATCTTACAAGAAGGTGAGCTGAAACAGCCCAGACACACACACACACACATATCTATATTTGTAGTCGGGGACATAAGCCGTGAAGTGTAATGATTATACCAGAATATGGAAGTCATTTGTGGTGTGCCGAAACCGACGTATTGGGTAGGCCTGTAATAAAAGAGGGCCCACCCAAGAAAGGTTATAGAGGGTTGTGGTGGGAGGGGTGAACCCAGCGATTCCAGTGTAGATTTGGCTGGGGCCTGAGCTTTTATAGCCGGGTAACCCCTCCCACAATTCCAGGCTACGCCTTACTATTTGTAGTCGGGGACATAAGCCGTGAAGTGTAATGATTATACCAGAATATGGAAGTCGGTTGTGGTGTGCCGAAACCGACGTATGGGGTAGGCCTGTAATAAAAGAGGGCAAAAAGGTTGGAGTAAACAATTCACTTTATTATGCATGGTTACATAGCAAGACCTTTGAATGCGGACCTTAGTTCTATTTCTGGTTGTGGAATGTAAGTGGCGTATACCGCAGATTTCCATCGGCCTAATCTTTTAATTATGTGAGAGGGTACGTTGTGACTTGAGGCTGCCGAAGCAGCTCCAATTCTGAACGAGTGACCAGAAAACCCTGTAGGGTTGAGGCCGAGTCGGATGAACAAGGTTCTGATGTACTGAATGAACTTGGCAGTTGTTAAGGGGAAACCTTGTAATGATATTAGTGGGGCGTTTTGACTGAGACCTGTGAGAGTAGCCAAAAAGGTGTCAAATACTACGACGGGGCACCACTGATTGCCGATGGGATAGTAGCAGATCTTGGTAGGTGGGCCTATTTGATTGGTTTTAGTGTGACCTAGGGTGAGTATGTAGTGATCTGTGTGTTTGTGGAGATTTGTAATTTTGAGGGGTTGATTTTGACACGAACCACTATTGGTGGTGAACTCGTTTGGTCGTAAAAACCCATAGAAAGCTAGGTAAGTCGCTGTCTTGATAACTAGGTTGGTATGGGTTTCAAAAGGTTTGGAGTCCAAGATATTGGAGAGTGCGCGAAACTTGGGACCGTCTATGGGAAGTCTGGCAGAGGTAGTGGGTGAGTCTAATCTCAGTATGCCTTTTAATATGTTTTTCACGGGGTAGGAAGACATGAAGGGTTTAGAACTAGGGTAGGCACTGATGATATGATGTTGTATACCTGAGAGATATAGTTTAATGGTGTTCAATGATAATTTTAGGTTAAGGTGGCAGAAAGAAATAAATGCAATAATGGAATCTAGAGAATGAGTGTCAGTTATCTGATGCTGTGTCGTGAATTTGGTGTATATGGTAAAAGCTCGATTGTATGCACGAGATGTGTTTGTGGATAGGGCTGCTCCGGCTAGATATCTGCTGTGAGATAGCAGTCTTTCTAGTCCAGGATGAGGTCTTGGAATGGAGGGGTGCTGACCGGTCTGGAGTTGGCTGTGGGGTGTGTCCTGAAGAAGACCTGTAAGTTAAATCGAGACAATGCATCAGCAGCTGTGTTGGTGTTTCCTGGAATGTGGATGCACGTGATGTGAAACTGTAGTGTCGCCGCTAACCAAGTTAGCCTTCGGATCAATTTCATGATGGTGAGTGAGGAGGATCTACCCTTGTTGATTATGTCACAGGCTGGTTTGTTGTCGGAAAAGCATTTTACTGCTTTCCCCCGCCATAAGTGTCCCCATACTCTGGCGGCTGCCACAATCGGGTAGATCTCGAATAGGGCAGATGTAGTGGGAAATGAGGGCAAACCTAGGGTTTCTACTGACCATGAATCTCTGAACCAGTCATTGCGATAGATTGCTGCAAACCCAGTGTGAGCTGCTGCATCGGTCCAGATGACAGGTGAGGAATCTGATAAAGGAGTGATAAACATGGCTTTCCCATTCCAATGCGTTAGGAACCGTAGCCACATGAGTAGATCTGCCTTGGCGTGAGCATCTAGTGATAACGTGCTGGAGTCAGTATTGAGTAACGGGAGAAGGCACAACAATCTTGCGATGAACGACCGGCCTTGAGGAATAATTTTCATGGCGAAGTTCAGCGTGCCCAATAAGGATTGTTGGTCTGACCTGGTACACGTGTCCTTCACCAGAAAATACTCTACCATTTCAATGATATGTTGCACCTTCTCCCGTGGTAGACTAGCCTGTATATTGACGGTGTCTAGTTGAATACCCAAGAACGTAAGTTTTGTGGTAGGGCCTATTGTCTTTGTTGGAGACAGTGGAACCCCCAACGTTGAAAATAGGGCCAAGGTCTTCTGGAGACTAACTGGTGAGGATTGAGGTGATTCTATCGTAAGGAAGTCATCCAGGTAGTGCAGAACTGCGGGACAGTGAGTGATATTGAGGAGTAGCCAGCATAGTGTGTCAGCAAATATGTCGAATAATTTCGGGCTACTTTTTGCTCCGAAGGTAAGGCGGGTGGCAAAGTAGTAATTGTTTTCCCATTTGATGCCGTGCACGTGCCACAGGGATGGGTGGATGGGTAAGAGCTTAAAAGCGTTGGAAATATCGGTTTTCCCCAACCAGGCTCCCGCACCTGCCCTAAGAATGGATTGAATGGCCTTGTCTACAGAGGTATATTGCAGGGAAAACTCTTCTGACGGTATCAATGAATTGATGCTGGGGGTAGCTAAAGAATGAGGAGCGAACAAGTCGTAAATAAGTCTTTTTTTATTGTTGGACTTCCCAGTGGCGATACCTATAGGGTTGGTACGCCAGCTGGTGAACGGAGGGTGAGCGAAGGGGCCCACGATAAACCCGTTAGTCAGTTCGGTCTTGAGCAGTGACTGTGATTGGGTCAAGGATAGGTGACTGTAAGTTGGGACATTCGAGAATACCTGTGGGAAGTGTGACTAGGCCCGTGTGGAAACCCTCAGTGAAGCCTTGAATGAGGAAGTTGACTAAGTGAAGGGAAGGGTGTGCCTGGAGGTAAAATGCCAGGTTGTCAATGCTAACTTCGGTTAGTCATTGTTTTGGGTACAGACGATTGGGGCACATAGTTTTTGCATGTGCCCTGAAGCAAGTTGAGCAGACGTGCAGCAGTCTGCATGAGCTAAACCCACAACTTCCTGAATTGAAGTTGTTGCAGATCTGTGCTTTCCCAAGGTATACTATGGGTCTACCCAACTTGTCCTTCAATCCTCTGTGTTCTGCCTTGGAGGAACCGAAGGTAGCACGACTAGTGGTAGGAAGGTTAGGATCGACTGGGCACAAGTTGGTGGAGTGTGAGATGGAGGCGCACAGGGCACAGGATGGAGGTTTTTGGCCAGCGAAATGGCGGCAAAAAAGTTCTGTATCCAGGTTACTCCAGTTGGTATGAGTGTTAAATTGAGTTAGGGATGCTGCCGCCTTGGCCGAAAAGGATTTATGATAATCATAGAAGGAAAAACCCCCATACTTATGCCCTGGGTCCACCAACTTGTGCATGTACAAGTCCAATTCCTCCCTACGGTGCGGGGATGTGGAACAGATTACGTCACGGTAGAGGCCGAAGGCAAGGACGAATTCAGGTATGGTGAGTTTCCGGTTGAGCCTGGGATCTCTGGCTTTTAGCACAACCGAAAGATCACCGTAGCAGTATGCCTTGTTTTCCACTACATCTTGTGATGCGATCAGCAGAGATACAAGGTTTATGTCCTTGCCTTCTAGAATGTCTTTGCGTATTGTCGGGGGTACAAAATGTGCAGGTGTGATGATGTGGGTGGATGTGCTTGGTATAGGGTTTAAGGGAGTGTCATTACCGTGAGGGAGGAGAGACGAAGTGAGGGTTGGTATGGGTGAGGTGACTGTCATCATCTGCGGGGTTTCTAGCTTATCCAGCCTAGCGCTGATTGTGGTAATTGAGGCCAAGAGGGATGACATCAGACCCTTGATCTCGTTGTAGTTTTCCAAATGCAGAACTACTCCTGGTTGAGGAGTACACGTGTTAGATATGAAAAGTTTGTATAGTTCGGCTTTGCGGGCTGTAGCTGGAAACGGGACCCCCATGCGACGTAATTCGGCTGCAAGCTTGGGGATGGTCCATGACCTGAGAGCGTATGGGCTGGCTGATTCTAGGTTTTCAGTGGGTGTGCTTGGGCCCGCCAGGGTTGCAGGTCTGGTTGGGGTTTCAGGTATGGCCAGCTCTTCTTCTTGGTCATGGGATTGAGACATACTAAAATTGAAAACAGGGTAAGAGACGGAGTTTGATAATGAGCGAAGTTGCCTGAGTCAACTGGTGCAAGCTATGCCAATAGGCGAAACATTAACTATTCTATGAGGAAGGTGAGGTCCTGCTAGTGCCAAG